TTAAATATGTATACCTAGATATTCACCGTCGTGTGCGACTAAAATTCCTCTTCCGTTCGTGTTAAATATTAATCAGCAGCGTTAAATCAACTTTGGGAAAAGTACGTAGAATATTTGCATTGACTCCTACTTTTTTTTTTTTTTTCTTTCTTTATAATACTCCTATTCGTTTGAATTTGAAGAGAAAAGAGAATCACGGGAGAGAGGTGAAAATGTGTTATTTTATCGAGTGAAAAAAATTAAGATCAAGACGAGCAAGTGTTATATCAAACGCTAGATGCTGAAAGGATGAAATGGGAATTAAATTTTTTAGTAGACAAGGATTTTCGTGCTTATAGAGATACATTTGTTAGAATTGAATTCTTTCTAGACGAATTTTTCTTTTAACAGTGAACGAAATAATGTGACACATATTAACATTGTCGATAAACTGTAATATATTTTTGGTAAGATTTTCGTTGTTAGAATACGGACAATCGTATAAATTCATATTTTTATCTTTTTAATGAAATTTAATGGATATTTTACATGGATATTTTATTTTGAAATTTAATGGATATTTCATTTTAATATAAATACTGTCACTTTTATTCATATTCTTCAAATCCCAATCTTAATCTCTCGTCACGTCAAATTTACACGATGAAAATTTTATGCACGTGAAATAAATTTCAGATAGTACTCGTCACTGTGTCTCATTTTATTCTTTCCAAATTTACACCGAGATATTTCATTTTACTGCCGGCATTCGCGTAACCTGCTAAAAATTTTCCGTTCCATAATTATCAACAAGTGCACTTGCAAAAGTTGGCGGTAACCGAAGTTAAATTAGTCGAATTTTCAGAAGTAATTCCAAGGGGAACTCCTTGTCGACGAGTCTAATTAACCAATTTATCATGGACACCTGTGTGAGAGACAGAGACAGAGAGAGAGAGAGAGAGAGAGAGAGACCTAATTTCTACCAGAGAATTAAACACGATTGCTCGTTACTAGGCGACGTTCGTTTAATCCGGTCATAACTATAACGCGATGAACAAACCCACGCTCGTTGGAAACACGATCGTAAAATGCAAATCGGCGCGATTGGCCGATTCGATTCTCGCGAATACCGGAATACGGAACAAGTTCGAAATTCAAAGTTGGTTTAGATTTAGATAACCTAACCAACGCTTTGAGATACGATTCTAACCCCGTAGAATATGTATAGTATATCTCGGCTAGAAGAATGAAGAGAGACTATGGCAATGTCCATTGCTTGGATGAAACCGAGCAAATGTTCGTTTGAATCATTTGAAAAGAGTCATTAAGAATCGTTAATCGAAATATATTATTAATATTATAAAAAAGAGTTATTAATCAAATAATTTTCTATATAGAAAAGAATTATTAATCAAATAATTTTCTATATAGAAAAGAGTTGTTAATAAAATAATTTCCTATATAGAAAAGAATTATTAATCAAATGATTTTCTATTACATAGAAAAGAGTCATTAAGAATCGTTAATCGAAAGATATTATTAATGTTATAGAAAAGAGTTATTAATCAAATAATTTTCTATATAGAAAAGAGTTATTAATCAAATAATTTTCTATATAGAAAAGAATTATTAATCAAATAATTTTCTATTACATAGAAAAGATAGTTAAAGTATCTTGAAGGTTGTGTAACATAATATAACGACGCCTGGAATATAGAAATTGAAACTTCCACAAATTCCACGTATACAGTATTTCTTGACAACTGGATAAAAATAATATATGAAGAATTTATAAAATTATCCCTTCAATTGAAACAAATTAGAAATTAGACAGTTCTGAAACAAATGAACCAACACCAAGGCAATAGGACACGAGTTATAAAATTACTACGAAAACTACAACTGCCCGATTGTCGTTCAATCAAAACTTCCACAGGATCGAAGTAAACAGCAAACAGTGTATCGTACAGCAACTAAAAAAATTCATTCAGAGGTTGCGTAAAACAAAATTACCCAAGATATCAAATAACAAATTCGACACGTAATTGGCGATGCATTGAAGCGTTAAATTACAAATCACCGAGTATTTTAATAAATGGGAAATAACACGTAGGTGGCAGAAACAAGATACAAGAATTCGCAATTAAAATAAATCGGAGAATTAGCGAATGGCGTGTAGGATCTCCGAGTATCTTCTGATCTGCGTAAGTGGAGGAAAAAAGAAATAGAACAACAGAGAAACGAGGCCGAAACAGCGTTTCAAAAGAACAAGGGTAAAATCCGAGGAACGAATCGTACGAGTGGTAAGAGGGATGCTCCAGCTGTTGAAGAGAGACGTCGAACCGTCGTCGTGATATTTTAGACTTGTCCATTTTTCTTTCCTACTTTTTTTCGTTTATCCACCAGCGACGAAAGTGCTCGTGCGAGATGGAGATAGATCGGAAATCGACGACAACTTGTCTCTTGACTTTTCATTTCTTTTTCTTCCTTTCTTTTCGTTTCTTTTTCATTTTTTCGATCGTCCGGAAAAGTGTAGTGTTTCACGAGCGAAAAGAAAGAAGAAAGTTTCTTTTCGCGCGTGAATCAATATCGTGATTATGCTTTCCCTTTGTAACGACGTAGTCTCGTAATTTTTTTTTTTTTTTTTTAGAACACTCGAGATTGGTTCCCTTTCGCCGATTTTTACCTACACTTTGCCGGACTTTCGTTTAAAAAAATTGACGATCGATCGCTTTGAACTCAGCGAGTGGAGAAAAATTTTCATCGTCGTAGATTGTTTCATTATTATTATTAATAAATTATATAATTGTTATAATTAATAATAATAATAATATTATTATTAAAGTGTACATGAAACATTTAAAATGCAGACGCTTCTTGTATTATTTAATTTAATTTATTGTATTGTTTCATGTTAAAGATAGTTAATTCCATAAACGTAAACAAACAAATAAATCATGCACAGGATGCTCATAATACGAAATTGAAATTACAGATGCTTTTTACAACTTTTAAACTTAATCTATTATATTTATTTTGTACTAATGGATATCTGTTCCATAAAAGTAATTTAAATGAATGAGATTCGATGTCTAAAGTCATTTTTTTGCGAAGTTTCTCTAGCTTGGCAATTTCATGATTTGACAATTATTTCTTTTCAATGTAGAGAGGGACAAACGATGGGACACCATGAATATCAAAACGATCGATCAGATATTTTCACTCTTGGCCTCGACGACAAATTCTTGTTTAAATAAATTTTACCTACATTCTTATTTATTCATGTTATTTACAAATTACCAATACAATTCTCTTTCGTTCTTCCTTTTATTAAATTTTCTAATTGTCTTCGAGGCGAAGGATTTAATTCGGCAGGATTTTCAAGAGATTTGTTGAAAAATTCTCTCGAAGAGACTGCTCGTTTTTCTCGACGAACAACTTCGTCGAGCATGTTCCTTGTTATTTAGGAAAAAAAATTTCAGAGGAGAATGAGGATCGAGTCAATTCGAAATTTGGCAAAATTACTCTCTCGATAAAATGAAGTTTCACGTATTGATCTGTATTCGCTGCCAAATTCACAAATTGACGATCGCTCGAAGAAACAGGAAAGGATATTATCTCACCGTAGCTGTACGTCGTCAGACTAACTGTAATTATAATTAAATTATTATGCTTGTTCGATACTACAAAAAAATTAAAACGTTGAAATGTTGCAGTGAATTTAATTAATATTCAAGCTTCAATGGTTTTTGTTAAATTCTGTCACCTCAGTTTACAAATCCTAGGACATCACATTTGTTCCGAATGTAATGAAAAAAACTTATTCCAAAATGGGAAAAAAAAATTGAGTAATACAAAGAATCTGTGAAAATGTTGATACATTAAACGAAAATCTATTAGACGAAATACTAGCCTGTCGTTTCAATGATTGTTTCGTGAGAAATCGATATGAAATAAAAAATAAAAAAATACAGCACTTTGGTAGTAGTACTTGAAACTTACGGAAATGTAAATTTAAATTTGATTGATCGACATTCCAAGTTACCATTTAATTGCAGTTGCAAAATTCACCCGCGAGTGAACAATTTGATCACCTGCAACAAATTTTCACTTTGATATCAAGAATAAAATGAAAAATTGTCCCAGGATTTTTGAACAGGAGCGCTTCGATGAAAGTCGGAAGGAAGAGTAACGACCTGACGACGCACAGCTGTGGTAATTTTCACATTTTTCGATTGATCGATGCGCAACCTCGATTTATCCACGGTTGCACGCGTTTCCGTGCTGAATTCATCGCGAGATGAACGTTGAGAAATCGATAGGAGTGGGAGGGAAATGATATATCCTCCCCTTTGATTGCGCATCCATCAACATTGTGTCTTCAATCGCGAGATTCGTGCGTGACGCTAAAGATTGTCGTTGTTGGGTCTAGAACAGTGATTCCAGTCAATATCTTTTTCCTTTACTTGCGTCAGCCAATTGAAGAGAATGATTCGTCTTCGTCGAACTGCGAATTTCACTCACAACATCTGTGACGGATAGATTTCTATTGTTTCTTTATTCTCTTTGTGCAATCTTCCCTTTTTTCTGATGAACGTGGTATTTTAAATTCAAAGAAAACTTTCAAGTCTGTGTATTAAAAGAAGAATATAGATTAGAAGAATATAATTAATAATATGATGTTCAAACACTGTAAAATATTAAACGTAATGTCAGTGCTAAGAATATAAAAGTTTATACGAAGACTAAAGTTGTGTGTTTAAAGAAATATTTTCGATACATATTACGATTCTTTTCTAGCTCTTCCTTTTTTTTTTTTTATCTAACTTCTATTTCCTAATACTACTCTTTTTTAATTTTTAATACCACTCTTTTTTAATTTTCGTATCTGACGCAAGTTGTCTGTGAACATCGACGAAGAAGGAACGTCAACGCGAATCTCCCGATTGACTAGTAAAAATAAAATTCAATTCAGGAAGGTTCAAAGTACAGGTTTCTTTAACATTTTGTTTATTTGACAGGTGAATAACGCGACAGCGAGGGTGCAGACGAAGAAACCACCGACGGTACCCAACGGTAGGTGCAATTGTATTTTTCATGCTCGCAAATCCAACGGACACAATTACACATATAAATCTAAACTACACGTATACGATTCTTTCATGTTCGCGTATGTTTCTATTTCCAATCAATAGACTGCAATTGTAAATTTTTCTCTGACTTAATCAAAGAAACGAAATTTAAACAGAAATGGAAGTAGATTAGGTTAGTTATTTTCAATGCCTTGATATCTTGACCAGAATCTTGTTCAATTCTTTTCAACAAAACGCCTATCATTATTCAGTTCCTATAAAAATATCAATACCCATCGTCAAAGAATCCTATTTGATTAAACCGTGAAATTGATAAAAGAGTATCATTTTAATACATGATTGAAGATGTAAATTTCATACGTATACTTGTAATTTAATTTCCTCACAATAAAACAATCGAGAGAATATTATAGCACGTTCTTAATACAGGATGCGTGATTTTGAACTAGTTGATATTGACTTTCGACGTTCGACGCTCAACGTCGTCATTCTATTGGAAATTTTCGAATTTTCGCAGTCGATTAATCAGGTTTCCAACAGCCACGTTAAACAGTGTTACGGTGTTTTCGTTGTTTTCGCGGGATCTTTGCCTGTGCTCTTCTATTTCCCTGGCAAAGTTAATGTGCGGCGGCTGCCTCGCCTGGCACAAACGTTTATTCTAACTCGATTAATTAACGTGGGAATTCCAGCTCCTTCGAACGCGTGAAATTTTGATGTCAAACTAGGCACACTCGAGGCAGCTTCTCCAGGTGATTTTCGCTGCAGTGAAAATTTTTCACCAAGTAGAAAAAAAAAAAAAAATAAAGAAAAGAAAGGAAAAACTACATTCCACGTTTCGTCGCGTTTCCGTCGAATGAAATTTTGATGTTCGCTTGGTTCTCAAGAACCCCGAATACTCCGATTACTGACCGTAGCTTCAGCTAAGTTGCTTAACTTTTTTAATTATCTGCTACCTGTCTATAGTTAGTCGTTATCACAGACGTGTAGTTTCTTTCAAACTGTCTACTAACTTTGTTTATTAAATATTCTACTCTTTTTCTCGGCCTGTTTTCTCTGTGTGTTAATTAATATTTTAATATTTAATATTTATAATTAATAATTAATATTTTACATTAACAATTAATATTTACTCTGTGTTAACTAATACTTTAATATTTAATATTTATAATTAATAATTAATATTTCACAATTTTTTTTTTTTGAATGAATGATAAATGTTTGTTAAATTGAAAATATTTGCTCTACTACTGGCTGTGAAATAACATTTCTCTCAGAGACTTGTCAAGGATTAAATTCGAAGCACTTGTCCCAGCATGGAGACTTAATTCCAAAAGTAAACTCTCCTCGCTTCCTCGGTTTGAAGATTAATTTGAAGTGGCTGATTTAAAGTGTAATCCTCATTTTGAAAGCAGGGTGCTTAACTTTCAATTAAGACGCTTTTTATTTATACGCCTAGTAGAATAAAATTGAAAAAGAAGATGATCTAGGATCTAACGATCGTCTATGATCTGTTCACGCAATTCCATCCGCGAAGGAATAGTTGAAGAAAGAATTTGAACGATGCGATTCTTTGCGGGGAGAATCGAATCCACGTTTCTAATCCAATTGACAGAGCACTAAGAGCTCGTCCGAGCAATTGCCTCTAATCTAAATCTAATCGCGTTTCTATTGCGCGAGCCAATTCGAATCGCGACTTAATCCGGAACAGAACGGCCATTTGCGAGCAAGGTCTGTCTCGAAGCATCTGTTCATTTTCAGAAGAAATCATTTGGACGAGGCCAGGTTTCCTTCCATCTTGAATAGAATAGATTTCGTTCTGTATTCTATTGATTATCAAGAGATGCTTATATTTATTAATAATTCTCTTAAGTAGAATAAAATGAAAAAATTTCTTCGTTGTGTAATATTTTCTTATCTCGTCAATTACCGAGGAATAATTTATCACGATGTTGCAGTTTCGTTGAATTTCATAAAATTGTAGAATCGAGATAAATGACGATGACGAAGAAAAGATTATAAGCTTATAAAAAATGAAATTGAACAGTGAAAATGAAAAATTGCAAATAGTTTTCAATTTTATTCTATATTGTGTACACGTAACGCGTATAAAATTAAGAGTAGAAGATAGAAAGATAAGTATCTTAAATTTTTGTTATCTTAGAATGTTATTTCTAAAAACACTCAATCATTTGAGACAATTGAGATTGATGTGCGAATGAACTTTCGACTTACAGTCAAACGAAAAATAATTAACCCTAATAAATAAATGTAATTCATAGTAACTCAGAGTATGTAATAACAGGGAGTTGACATTTTAATAATAATTAATGATGCAAGCAGAAAGATGACACTTGAATAATAAATGACGATAACATAAGAAAGAAATTTATTCGCATTAACATCCACAAATTAAGGTGAAATCAAACGAGAGAAATACATATCATGATGATGACTTTACCATTAAACAAATCAACTTACAATATCATTGCGTGGCGTATATTAAATAAATTATTTAAAAATAAGTTAAAATAAATACTCGTTGCGATGATTACGTGTAATTATCATACTGCGCGTAATGACAGTTAAAATAGAAATAATCGAATGAAAAACACACAGAATCAATAAATTGTGTAATTACATGTAATTCGTACGTAATTAAATACGCGCGTTAATATACACGAAATTAGACACAGCGGATTGCATGTTAATACACAGTTACATAAAGACGATATTAGAATCAATAATTAGCAACGTCAACTCGTTACCATGTAATTATAAATAATCGACATTCGAACAATATTAACTGTCGTTCGTTTGCCAAGTGTTTCTCAACAGAGGAGCCTCATTCGAATGATCTGTACCAACAGGCGATGAAATCGCCTCTAATTATAATCGAACTCGTTAATCCGTAATGAGCGAATCGATGATCATGATTATTATACGAAGAAACTGAGAAAAAGTGCATTCACTTTTTAAACATATTCAATATAGTGTAACGTTATTATGAGATTATCTGTACAATACTGTAGTACAGTAGACAATGGAACACTCGGCAAATTAAATTATGTAACTAATTAATTTCAACAACAACTGACAACCTTGATTAACTCAGCAATAATTAATTAAAGGATTTTTTCTTCTAATCTTCATTTTTATACGTAAAAATACACAAAGTAAAGTATTTATTACCGATATTTCGAATAATCACACTCACAAGGTGAATTGATGAGAAATTTTTCTTCTAATCTTCATTTTTTGTTGGGAATTCGAAAGTGCAACAATATACACAACACACGAAGATATGCATAAAAATATACATAAATGTACAAAGTGGAGTATTACCACTTGCGCCTGGCAACTGTTTGCGGACCATAACGAGTGACCAAACCAATATACAATAATTCGTCGCTCTCTTTTTGAACTGGTCGATATCATACGATATCACTGGATAGAAATTATTGACAAGTAATAAATTTATCATTTCTTTTGCCTATTTTTTTACACTTAGATATACTTAATACTTGGAGGACATATTGCAATTTTGGAGCAAAAAAATTTGCGTGGCACGTCATTCCAGCGCAAGAGGTCAGGAAAGGATGAAAAGTTTCCAGCGTGTTACTCGCGTGTAATCGGCGAAACAACGAACACCACCGATACGACGAGGGCGGCCTATTAATTCGCAGATCTCGCGATCCCTATTAAACCCAATTCCTTTCTCGACCGCAACCTCCGGTGAAATTCACGGCAGCGTCGAAATCGCGCAATTAGCCGCGAACTGAAGCCGCACGCGGCCACGATCAAGGTCTACGGAGAACGTTTAACGCCTGACCGGTATGCACATCCTCCAACGTAAACCTCACCGTCTCTCAACAGTCCGTCTCGACCACCGTTTCCGCAAATTCGCGTCGATTCTCGTCGCGCACGCACACCATTGGTAAAGTTAAAATCGATTCCGACTCGTTTCCAAAACTCGGTTATCGCCGAGCAGATTCGTACGCAGAGCGACGATTAATAATCACGGGGTTGTCGCTGATAAAACCGGTGAAAGGGCGATCGAGCCGGGAGACGTTTTATCATCGTCGACACGTGGGAGGGAGAAACGGGTCGCGACCGGAGGAACTTCGCGAAGCATAACCGGAGTTACGTTTGCGCCATTTAATCCCGTGCAGGCGCTCGTGGGAACTGGCGAGGTAAATCGTCGGCCAGGAAGTCGTTTTAATTTATTAACAGAGAAATTGCGAGAGACCGTGAATTCGAGATCATTCCGGGCGAGATGTTACGCATACACGGTTTTTCATTAGTTCACGGACTCTCGTCGAGGGTTAGGTGAATCTCTGCTTCCTTTTTCGGAGGTGTAATTAACTCGTTGGTGACCGGCGTGATTAACGTTTCGTTTCATTTACTCTTTTTTGTTTAATTCGTCAATGGTACGAACCGATGCATGTTTGTGCAAGCGTTCGCGCGTTTACTCGCGTGATTGAAAGAAAAATGGGAGCCGAGTGGAATTATATTTGCAATTCGTTTATTAAATGTTGGGCGATGCGCAGCCCAGTTTGGAAATTTAATTTCCGAACAGCTCGTGTGATAGCTCATTACAGAGTTTTGCAGCTTTTCATTTCTATACGTATCAAATACGTACGCAAGTTCACAGTCTAGTTATGAATGTATCGAACTTCTTCTAAATTCTCAGTAGGGAGTTTTTGAAATTACTTTTCACAATCGATTTAATTACGTAAATTGATTTTTAAAAAAAAAGTGAGATGTTTTTATTATTTACGTCTCCATTTCATGCAGCAAATGTTCCAATACGTCTTCCTTTCACACTAATATGTAAATTATTTTATTTAGTTCTTTCAATGATGATTAATAATTTAAATCATTCGATAATGTTATGCAAATTTTGTACATTGTTTGTTGTTATTTGTTCCTTCGTGAATTGAGAAAATGGAGATTAACTCTTTAAATGTTACATTATGTTTTAAA